TGCCTCTACCAGCTTTCCAGATGTGGAGACTTCGGTTTATTGCTCAATTTTCTTGGTGAGATAGCTTAAGCTCAGTCAGTTCGGATGGAAAGCAACACAAAAACATCAGTATTTAACTCTTCCACAGTTGTTTTGATTGGGACATGATGAGATGCTGTTCATTCAGCTGTATTTTAACCTTTTTGTTTTTTATTTGATGGAAGGAGACTAAATACAACTTCACATTAAAAATCAAAATAATACGCATTAACTATTTCAATTTTCTTTCCACATAACCTGTACTAGTGACTTAACAGAATGTGAAAAAGTCCAGAGTATGACTATTTCTGTATTATGTGCCCAGTTCAATTAAAACTGACAATTTTGTTATACTTTATATCTAAAATATCAGCTTTTTTTTACATACTTTATAAACAAATTCAGAGGTGTCAATGCACCGCATGAAAACTTTGGTGGCATCTCATGATAAAGACTACATTTAGTCTTTGCTACCAACCATGACCTCACCTCTTTGGTTTTGTCTAGTTCATTCTGCAGAGCCTGTTTGGTCACCTCCACCTCTATGAGTTTCTGTCTCAGCTTTTCGTTCTCCTCTTCTGTCTTTGTCCGTTTCTCCTCCACCTTCTCCAACTCGTGGTGCAGCCGCACCGACACGTCCTTCGCCACCTGCAACAGAATCAGCAGCAGGACCAACAACTCCGACAAATGCTTCGCACGACAGTGCCAGAGGAGGATCGACGAGGTTTTGATTGTCTCACCTTCAGGTCCTGTTCCAGGCTCCTCAGCAGCTCTTCATCAATCTCTCCCGTCTGGGCGTAGCGCAGCCTCTTCCTCTCGGCCTTGCGCAGTCGATACTGCAGGATCCGGCAGTTTTTATTGGCCCGCTCTAACTCACGCCTCATTTCCTGCAGCTGGCATGTGTCTTCCTCATAGAAGGAGTCTCGCATCTCGTCCATCTCGGCCCTCATCTCCTCGATCTCACACTGGCAAGAATCATACCAAAGATGAGCTGATGGGCCGTTAAAGCGGAAAAGCATGCTCCACTGTAGTTCCTCACTGAAAAGCTTTCATTAAATAACCTTTTAAATGATCTCTTTCTTTTTCATTCATGAACTTTTATTTGCAACTGTACTTTGATTTCTTTTTTTTTTTTTTTTTGATCCCTTACTGTGTTTATTTAAGTTTTTTCTGATTTTGTTATGTTTACTGACTGCAAGGATCATGCCAATGTGCTCTTTACTCATTTGGCACCAATGTGCTTCCATTTTAATTAGTTTATAGTTTTTTTTTTCTTATGTATGACGTTTTTGTGGTGCTTTCCACCACAAAACACACACACACACACACACACACACAACACTGATGAAAATACAACAGTTTAGAGCCAAATAATGCAAGCTCCCGGTTATCTCCCTGCTGTGTGGCGATTTATACTTTGTAATTTGCTTAACAGATTTTTCCCTTCATCTTCTACTAGCTATATTTAATATATTAATCCTCGATTGTTACTGATCAGCTCATTCTGAAGACAAATCATTATTGATCCAGGTGAATCAATATCAGTGGAAGCTAATGCATAACATTTTCTCCCCTCAGAGCTGAGTCTTCTTCTCGGAAGAATATTCAACAGGCTAAATGATTGATTGCCCATCTTTTAATAACAACACTAGAATAGGCCCTACATGCTATTTTTTTCATCTGCCTTTTCCTCATATTTTATAACTGTTAGCAAAGAATCATCCAGCGATTAAGCACGAACCTTGAGATCATCATTTTCCTCCAGCAGCCTCTCTATCTCCTCTTCCAGGGCCTGGTCCTGCTGTGTCACGGACGCCTCCTCCGTCTCCCCCGCAGCCGGATCCGGCTCTCCCCGCGCGGCCTCCGCCCCGGCGGCGCCCTCCGTTTTGCTCTGCATCTCCGCGCTTCTCCTTTTCAGTCTCCCGTGCAGGTGAAAGTGAGTCGGCTCAGCCCGAAAGCATCCTTCTCTCCCCCAGCCCAGGTCGAGGCCCGCTCCGCAGCCCCCGGCGGCGCCGCTGCTTCTCGCCCCCCGCTGCCCGCTGTCCTCTTTTCCCCTTGGAGGAGAGGGTCCGTCGGGCAGGGTTCGTCGGTCGGGGCGGCGCTTGAAGCGGGGTGTGCCCGTGGCAGTGCGGCAACCCGGCGACGCTGGTGAGTCGACTCTGGCAGCATCCGCCCTGTTCGGCGTCGGATCAGCCTCAGCACCAACTGGCTGGACAGCTGCTCTGCTGAGCCTCTCGGGCGCCCCCTCTCGGCCGTCGGTGGATCCGCCGGTTTTCCCCGCCTCGGTGTCTCTGCCTCTTTCCGCCCTCACGGAGGACCTGGACCTGTTCGGATGTTTGGCAGCGCGCTCGCTCGCTCCATCCCGGGCTCTGCTCGCTCCCCATGAGCTTTTACCAGCTGTCAATATTGTACAAGGATCTTCAGCGCCACTGGCGGCTGGCATAGTTTGCGTTTCTACTCGAACCAATTTCACACATTCCCCAATTTATAATACAAACGGTCAGAAATACATAAGATTGCTGTACGCGATGTGGAAAGTAGCGCGTCTTTGCTTTGATTCTCTTCCATTTTAATGCTAATTGAATAAAGTGCATAAAGACGCCACTGGATGCCGCTGTTCTCCAGCAGCGTCCAAATGCGTCTCTCGTAAAAATAAAAGCGTAAAATGTCTGCAGAAAAAGTTTCCGCCAAAAACGGACTTTCCAGATGGAACATTGGCTGCAAAAAAAAATACAAAAGAAGTTTAGTCGATTGCCTTTTCCGGTTTCTTGGACTTTCGGATCACCGCAGAAAAAACATGGAAAACTGAGGGCACCACCAGGAACCACCAGGGACCAGGGCCATGACGTCAGAGAGGACGTCATACCAGGAAGCAACTTCAACATTCAAATTCAAAAAAATACTTTATATCCCAAAGGGAAACTTAATAACACAACATGTATAATCTCTAATTTTCGCTTTAGAGCTTGTCTCCTCAATATCCAGACTTGTTCGTGTAAATTTTTCAAGAACACAAATCAGACAGGTGCTTGTGCATAATGTAGTTGGTCCTCATTGCATTCACACTAAGTCTGGTTGATCATAAAACAAAAAGCAAAACAAACAAAAAACCCTACAGCACTTTGCAAAAATATTTATGTAAACGTTTTGTTTTTGTTGTTACACCAACACGTAACACGTTTTATTGTGTTCACTGGAATTTCATATGTATGTCTAGCAAGTGCTGCTAGGTGGAAATGGATGTTTTTCAATCATTTTGTATTTTGGCTCCATCTGAAATGAAGGACCAAAACTGGTCCTCCATAACATGACATCCTTTGCCTGATCAGTAATATGGTTGAGGTTTTCTCAATGGTAAGTTGCAGATTAAGATTATAAAGGAAAAATTTTAAAATAAAGAAATGTTATAGTTATACTACAAGACAGTTATTCAGTTACTTATTAGTTTGACTTTTTAAAGTGAGATTGGAAAAAAATATATATATCAACTTTTCAAATGATATTAAACTTCACTGAGATAGACTGATAAAGATTTTCTCAAGAGAAGTTAAAATGTTCTCATTCGTGTATTCACCCCCACTGGATCCAGAGAAATATATGGTCCAGCAGAGGGCGCTGTCCATACTTCAGTGCAGCGACACCGAGGGTAAGCTGTTCCACAGACCTAGAGCCAGTAAAACGCTGACTGTTTCCACTCCCTTAGTCTCTCTTAGTCATTTAATTGCTAATGAGATGAGTGAGAAGCTGGTCAGGTTTGTAAGGATTTAAACTCTGCTAAATGACCCTTCACCCTGTTTCATACTGTGGTCTGCAGACTATCAGCAATTTCATGCAACTCTAAGCCCCAACAAACCTGTTGACATACACACACACACCCACACACACACGCACACACACACCCCCCCCACACACACACACACAAACTACAACAAAAAAAACCCCAACAACAACAATAAAGCAAGTACAAATTCAGCAACATGTAAATAGTTTTTCCAAGCTAACTCTGCTGCTTCAAGTTGTATTTGAATGCAGCTGCTTTTATTAACAATTGCTGAATCCGCTCCATGGGTCTGTGTGCCTGTCCAGTAACGTGCAAACGTTTTTGTTCGTTCCTGTTGCAGCATGGAGGGGGAGCAGGTTATAGTGCCCTGTGCTAAAAGCCTTGACCCGGCCTCTGCAATCCTCTTAGTCCTTGGCTTAGATCCCTCTATGTCCCTGAGGAGGACAAACGTGTTCCCTCGCGTTGAACTCATCCAGAATATCTGTCGCATCTTTCCCTCCAGCAGCCCCTTTTACCCCTACTTTGATGCCCAGTAGGCAGAAGGGGGTGATTCATAAACAAAAACAAGGGAGGAATAATGGGCTCAGCAAAGAAACTTGGAAAAAAAAAAGCAAAGCATGCATAGGAATGATAACATTTACAAAATATAGTTTTGAAAAAACAAACTACATTTTGTAACTGTCTACTTGTTGTGAAGTGTTCTTTAAAATCATCCTTTATTAATGCATTTGTCTTGAAGAAAAAGCATTGACGTGTAGGTAGAAATTGCAACTAGACAAAAATTTCACTGTAACACTCCCACTCTTCTTTTACAATTGCTAACTGCTGAAAGATTAGCGCGGAGGTTCTCTGACAGTGACCTGCTTTCTTGGATAGCTGGTGGAGTGACGTGGAAATAAGCTCTTTTGGAGCTAAAGCCAATTTGCTTTCAAAGATTAGGGCAGATCTGTCTGAACAGGTTGCGGGTGCTGCTTCTCTCTTACACAGAGACTTTCTCGGAGATCTTTCCAACTTGGAGATCCAGAGAAAATGGAGCGACAAAATGAGGAAGAAAAATAGGGATAAAGTGCAAAGCGGATGGTAGGGATTTAGATCTGCATTAGGTATGGAATCAGGCTCATCTGCATTGATAAGTGTCATCAAAACAGATTGACCGATCAACTGATCGACGTGCACTAACACAAGAACACAAGAATCTATGCAGTGCTGACAGTTTCTTTATTTCATTTAGTTGTGCAGCCAGGAAGCAGTCACCTTTCTTTAGACAAGACAATAAAATTACCTGCTGATTTCTTGAAGAAAAAAAAAAAGCTTTTCCTTTAGGATGAATTTCCCTGCAGTCCTAAGTGGCAGTCAGACACAGTAAAAAGAAATAATGTGTGAAGACCCATAAAAAATCTTTTTTTTTTTTTTACAGGGTCATAAACTTTTTTCTAAAAATCCAAACAACTCTAAGGTTTTATCACAAGTCTTTCAAATCAGCTTTTTTTTTTTAAACTCCAGATGAACAAAAAGGTAGTGGCATATAACTTTGTAAATGCAGCATAGTTGTAGTCTTTGCAAAGAACTCCACTGTCCACAACCAGTTGGACTGGAAGATGCTGTGGATGACTGCAAAGAAGTAATAATGCCTTGCAAAAGTATTTGTACACTTTGAACTTTTTTTTTTTACAGTATCAAGTTACAGATTTTAGTATACGTTTTATGGACTGTATGTGAGACACCAACATAAAGCGGAGCAAAATTTAAAAATAGAAGGAAAAGATACGTGTTTTTACATTTTTAAGGGGAGCATAAATAAAAATAATAAAAAAAATAGCCAAGAGGCCTCAAAGTAACTCAGAAGGAGCAACAAAGATCCACAGCTCAGCAGGATAAACTGTTGACAGACAACTATTAGCTTTGCACTCATAAATTATTGTCTTTATGGAGAAGTGTAAATAACAAGACACTTTTTAAAGACAAACACTAAAGTCATAATCTGCAGTTTTCCATAAGTCATGGAAGGTACATAGCAAACGTGAGAAAAAGGAGCTTTAATGCCATGAAACTAAAGTTGAGCTTTTTGACCTTAATGCAAAAAACAATATGCAAGGGAATTAAAACACATCATCCCTGTGGTGAAACACGGTGGTGGCAGTGTGTGCTTCTCTTCAGCAGAGACAGGAAAACTGATTAGAGTTGATAATAAATAAATCCTGCTAAAGTCTGCAAAAGACTTGAGACTGGTCTATTTTTTTTTTTTTTTTTTTTTTACAATATATGTGTCTACAGTATATGTGTAAATTAATACCAAGAAATTATTATTTTTCTTTTGTAGCCTGAAAAAAATGCTTCTACGTTTATCTGCCACATAAAATCCCAGTGATGATCATTGGAATTTGTGGCTAAACAAAATAATCAAGGGGTAGGAATACTTTTGCAAGGCAATGTAAATAAAGCAGATGGCAAACATGAGGACTTTGTAAGTTTCTTTGATAACCATATCTAAATCAACTGCATCTGTAAACATAATGTCCCACCACACCTGCTGCTCACTCCCAAAAGATTGAAATAACAAAAAAATATACAGATTTTGGTAACACTTAAAATCAATCAAAATTATTTAGAGCACTAGCAAATAAATTAGCACAATAACTATTTAAGCTCTTAGATAAAGCAGTATTAGAATCCAGAGTACAAAAATTGGAGGTGAACTTTGGTTGTAAATGCTGAGCAGGTGTGCATTTTCTGTGACATTTGGTCCCAAAAGGGTCCAAAACACAGTTGGACAGAAGAGCATGGAGCCTATGTGATCAGCATTTTTGCTTTTCTTCATTAACAATCTGTTTTGCAGACAACCAACATAACTGTCTTCCATCTAAAACCAGAAGCTTTTACAGACTTGCCCATAAATACACACCCGACACCCGCTGTTCTCCCCAAGTTGGTCCCGAATCATGTCAATCTACATTATCTGCAGAAATGATTGTCTGGTTTATTTCTCCCCTCCCTTCCCTCCTTCTCCGTCCACTTTTAGATTGTTGCCAGGCACGCGCCTCTTTCTTCTTCACTCCTTTTTCGCTCTTCCCTTCTTTTGCCTCTTCCCATTTTCCTCCACTTCTTCCATGTTGCTGTGGCCGTTAGTCACAGCGGACGTGCCGTTGGCCACTGGCTTGCCGCCTTTGTGTGATGAAGGTTTGCGTCTGTAGGCGTGGTAGTAGAAGTTGGCGAAGAGGATGATGAAGGTGACAGCATAGCCGATCAGAGCCCACTGCATCCAGCAGGGAAATTGGCAGCCAGTGTAGAGCGAATAACCGGCGTGGCCGATGGTTACATGAAACTGGATCTGTTAAACATGGAAAGTATCTAGATTTAGAAAAATATATTCAATTAAAAAACACTTTAAACTCATGTTGAGACATCGCCGTGGTTCATTCAGGCTGTAAAAGAAGAGAGAGCAAAACTTTCAGCTGAAAAGCGGAACAGCAAATTGTTCTGTTTTTTTTTTTCTTTTGAGCTTTCAATTATTTGGAAATGTATTCAGCTTTATACAAAGATTTCTATTTAGCAATACGAGCTGTGCTAACAAAGCTGGTAAATACATTCAACAATTTAAGATGCTAAACCAGCTTTAAACATAAACTTTATATAATTTTATCTTTGTTTTAAAATATCAGGTTGTTCAAAATCCTACTTATTTAAACTTACCCTATAGTATTCAACTGAATAATTCTACAATAAATACAGATTCTTTAAAACTCTTATTTAGTGAAAAACACTATATCTGTGAGTTAACTCTGGTCTATTTTTCTACTGTGATTACAGTTACTTTAAAATTTATTTGTAAAACCTTTGAATACATCCACCTAGATAATTCTTTTTTTTCAGATACATATTTTTAAATTCTTCATCTTTCTGATAAGCTACAAACGATGCATCTTCTGAGCGTGTGTTGGGTGACACAAGAAGGGGCTCACCCAGGGTGCGAAAGATGCAAGAACCAACCAAAGTCTGTATCAGCAGGTCAAAGGTCCACAAACACCAAACATTGCAAAATCGGACATAAAACTCAGGTAAATCTGTCCTGATGTTACGACATAAATAGGAACACCACAAACAATGTCCTAGAACTTGAAAAATGTGTTTTATTTTTGTGTGAATCTCATTAAAATATGATGCTTTTTACTCAATTTTATGCACCAAAAATATAACTCAGATTGAGATCCACTAAAAGAGAGACAGCACCCTCCCAAAATTATCACATGCTGTTCATATACATATCTATAGCAATACTTTATAACTATAATAGACCCTGAATAAATGTCTAAATAATAAAAAGAGCGAGATGTTGTTTTAAGAGGAATTTAACAGTGAGATTTTTTGCATGTAAGGTGCATCTTTAAATGTGTTACTCACCATCTGAATTATGGTGAGATATTTCTTCCACCAGAGATACTTCTGCATATGAGGTCCCAAGGCAGCCAGGCCATAATAACCGTACATGAGGACATGGATGGAAGAGTTGATGGTTGCACCGAAAAATGCTGTAGAGAGGGTCAAGATTCAAATGTAATTTTGTTAATGAATCTCCAGCAAGTACAAAACATGGGTTCAGTCTGGACTGTGGAACCAATCAAACACGCTTTTACTCACACTGTCCACCGGGGACCCACTTGATACCAATCCACCAGAGGATGAACATGGTACAGTGATGGTAGACGTGGAGGAAGCTGACTTGGTTGAACTTCTTCCTCAGTATAAAAAACACCGTGTCCAGGAACTCCACCCCTTTGGAGATGTAGTACCACCAAAGAGCAGATGCTATCTGGAGATACAAAGGAGGCAAGAGTGCATTTGTGAGGGGAGAGGTCAAACATCTGCACATTTAGGTAATGCAGCTAATAGACACTAAGGGCAACAGTTCAAGTGCTATAATATTGAAAAACAGTGTTAGCTTTGACCAAACATAGGGTCAGAATCTGATCCAGATTGTTGGCTTAGTTAAAATACTAGAAGGAACACCTTCACAGACCGCCATTTTGAATTATATAAAAGCCTGACTGAACCTCACGGAACAACTATTAGAGATTTTTAAAAAAGATTGTAAAATATTCAAATGATGCTCTGGCATAATGTTAATATTAGTGGGATGCAATTCCCAATAGAAAACAGTTTTACTCACTTCAGGTAACATTTGCTTTTCACTTGCTTAATAGTGCTTGTTATGTAGTGCTAGCTGTGTTTAACTTTCACACTTTGACCAAATAACTAGCTTTACAGTCAATAAAAACAGGCTGTATTTTATGCAGAGATAAATATATTTGTTATCAAAATTTAGAAAAGTCTATTTAGACTCACTTGCAAAGTGAATATCTCACCAATAGAAAGCCATCTGTCTGAGTGAACCTAATAGCTAATCAGACACACTTTAAATTTGTGTAAAATTAACCTAAGTGTATTCATTATTTTTCAATCCAATGGTTTATTTTCTATGTTGCCATTTATAGGGCCTATTTTACAAAATTGCATTCACAGAACAACATTAGTTAGGAAGTGTGGACCACCTCTGTCTTCAGTTTAAATAACCAAAATAACCAAAAGGTGAAGTTGTTCCAAAATAGCATAGGAATGCTTTTGCAATTGGTCCCACTGACAAGTCAGCTCAACTTCCCTGTGAAGATTAATTTTTACCATATCAAGTCTCTGTCTCAAAAAAATAAGATGTTGACTGCTCACATTTACTCTACACAATACCAGTTTAAAAAAAATACTTTAGGTTAAAAAACAAAACAAAAAAAATTGTCATAGAGGTAATTGTATTTGGATTTTTCTTAAAAATGAAAAGTATTATGAAATAACAAATCTCCATCTACACTTTTATTTAATCTTGTTCCATTATTTGCTGAGTGTTGGACATGCACATGGTTCACAAGGCCATTCTCTGAAAGTCACTATGATAACTCTGGAGTCCCTCCCACTGAGCCAGAGCACAGCGCTGCAAAAGGAGGTGGAGCTGCAGCTTAAAGGTGGTGTGACCAAACACCACACCCTCTTTGTCCTAAAATGCCAGGTTCTCATCATCTCTCTGTTTCTCTCCAGCTCTGATGCCCAGCAGAATTAGCAATCTACTAATCGTCAGCAACAAGATTACAGCATCACTCCACCTGTTAGCAACGGGGAAAGCGCTCGAGGCCGTGGCGCGATTAGCAACCGCCTTAAACGTCAACATTTGTTAAATGAATACAATTTTCTCCAGACAAGATAGGATGTGTGTACAGATTAGCTTAGTGAAAGGTGCAAGTGGGGAAGCTTACCCTGACTTCATTCACATCATTTGAGTAGTTGACAGGCTGACACAGGTAGCTGTATCCAGCGGCTCTTGATGCTAGTAGGAGCTGACAAAAGGGTGTAAAAGGCAAAGTCAGATCAGGGGAGGGACGACCAACGCAATGAAATGATACGTTAAGATGATTCACCTGAAAAGGCAGCGCATCAAGCATTTACAGACATTTGCATCAATAAAAAAGTTAATTTTAGGAACAATCTTTAAAAATGTTGTAAATTATTCCAAACGATCATAAACCACTAAACCATTCAATTAATTGAATCAATTTTGACTGAATTGAACTGTATCTATTTTGATCTGGACTTGACTACGTGATATTGGAAAATAAATCAGACTGAATTTGATGCTACACTTTTTGAAATAACTTTAGGTTTGCTTTTACTGTAAGATGTGTGGATTACCTTTTAATAAATGGGTTCTAAACAATTAAACCGGATTGAATTACTTTTTGTCATACTGTTGTACACCAGGCAGAAAATAGCTAAATGTCTAGCAAATGAAATGGATTCTTTGAAGAGCAGTTTTATTTGTATCACTCAATCGTCTCTGACATACATTATAAGACTGTAAATTTAAAACACCAACCTCTTTGGCGATGTAGAAGTTGAGGACCACCATGCTGAAGTTGTACACTATGAGGGTCTTCCTGAGTGTAAAGGGTTGGCGGTCCTGCATGTACCTAGGCCCCGCCCACAGGAAGATCAAGTACAGGCAGCTGATGGCCAGGGTTGGAGAGGGAGAAGACATCATCGGCCAGTTCTCCACCCTCTTGTCTGAACAAAATGGAGGTGTTCTATTATTATTGAGTTTCTACAGTTTTCTAATTAGTTTATGCCGAAACATTTTAATTAATCAGTTGAAATGTTACTCATGTAAATAGCATTTAATTAGAAATACACCAATCACCAAGCAGAGAGACAGAAGACAACAAAATTTCTCTTGAATTACAAGGTCAAAAGTCAAAAAAAGAAATCTTTTTTTTTCTTCATTAAATGCATCAAAACTAAGAATTTCTATTTTTTTCAGTCCATGAACACTTCAACCAGTAGAGTGTGCTTTGAAGCACTTTGTAAAGTTAAAGTTAAGTTAAAAAAAATCAAATCAAAGTCACCATTTGGTGTATAAAAAGGAAAGCTCTTGTTATGGTTGGATTCAAAACCATCATGGATATCAATTTATTTCCAACACAATGTTTTTCTCTTTCATGTCTTGAGGAATGTGCACCTCCACATTTCAGCAGATGATTTTAACGCTAAAGATTCGAAAGTTTACATTGTTGTTTCTGTTTGTCTTACGATACCACTTCAATACCTTCTTTGGTCTTGGTGAAAGAAACAAGAACTTAAAACTTTGAACTATTGTTGCTTATTCTAACTGGATAACTAAATTTAAAAATGCAGTTTAGTAAAATGTAGCATACATCCATCCTGTCTGTGTCACATCGATGTCGACTCAAAGGCTCAGACCCGGGAAAGCAACACAACAGTGTACTTTTCTCAGTTTCAAATTCAAGTAAACAATTACTAAATAACATTCAAATCTTTACATGTGCATCATAAGCCACGCTGCTGGTGAGAGTAGATCAGGAATTGGTGAATCCATCTTACCTGCTATAGTAAGGCTCCATTTATAAAACACTACTGTGTCATTCACAAGATGTGTTACAACCTCCATGGCTCTACCGTTGCTTGTGATTAAACTGCGGAGACAGAAGACAGCAAAGAGACACAAAAATTAAATTACAGGTCATGCACACCACATCAGTGGGACACAGGGCTACGCCCTACTAGCTTGAGTGGGTACTAGTTTTGCAAACAGCTACAGGATACAACGCATCGTGTTTTTATTGCTCCTGTTAGGAACAGTATAAAAGTCATATCTATGACAAAACAGACTTTAAATGGATGATTGCATATAAACCTAGAAGTCAGAAGTATATCACAAAAGTCGGGTTTACTGACAGAGAAATAGAGCTGGTAGCTAATGTCCATCCTCTTACAATATGAGCTCTAGAATCTCTACATTTTTGATCAAAATTAATCAATTTAAACATGTTACAATATACTTTCAAGCAAGTCACCTCAACACAGGATTGCTTCTCGTAGAAGAGACTCATATGAGTCAAGCAACAAACATTCAGTTAATGTTTGTTGCATGCTGTGTGATTTCATTTTGAATTTGATTGGGCTGGGTAGCCGGAGATGTGGGAAAGAGCTTACATCCTCGCTAGTTGAATCTTAACTAAATGTAGGAAAACCAACACAAGCTATCTCTTCTGATGCTAACTAGTCATAGCAATTTAAGACATCCAAGAATTCTTTGCATGACACGTTCCAACCTTAAAGAAAGAAGCATGTTCACAACTAGAGGTTGAATAGTATGTGTAACACAGGAACTGTAACACATAAAATACACAAATGACAAAAGATTTTCTGATAGAGGTCCTAGTTTTAAACTAGAAAAATATTTAAGGAACAAGATTTTCTTTATTAAGCCTCAAAACATACATCACTCCCCTTTATCAGATTTATATTTGAAAAGAGTGCACCCAACAACATGCTCCACCTGTTTTTGCATGTTGGTTACTGCTAAATAAATGGTGAACATTGAAACTTAAACACATGAAGTTTAAGTTTCAAGTGCCTGATTTGGCAGAGCAAAGGAAAATGATTGATTCCTATCTCTGACTCATTAACTGGGTGGTTTACACAATTTTTCATTACATTTCGCAGCCCCATATTGAATGTTCAATTTTGGACTTGTCTGTGACCTCTAGTTTCCCCGGTCTGCGTTTGGACTGCAGGAAACATTTTTATTATATGAGTACAGTGGAAAATCTAATCTCCATTTACAAAGAGAAGGCACCCAATTACTTGGCTGTTCTAAACCCTAACATTTATACAGAATTAGTAAAGCACAAATGTTCAAATATGGAGGATGGAACAGAGCTTTTTGCTGAGTTTTGGTGACCCACCCACAGACTAAGGGCCCTGCAAGCTTTAGCCAACTCTGGATGTCTGGCTCACTGAGACTAATAAGGATGCCTTACATAACAAACAGCTCTTATCCGCCACAGAGTTGAGAGCTTTTGTCTTTATATTAATCTATTATTAATCCAATGAGTCAGATCAGCTGTCCTTTAAATAATTAATAGCCAAGTATACAGTAACTACTTTACCAATGTGAGTGTTCAGGAAAAAGAGCCGAGTGCTTCAGTCCAGTGTGACACATAGGTGAAGGGATTAAATAATCTGCAGAGATGGACAATCTTTGAGGGATTTTGTATGATAACACATCAGGATGTAGTTCAACCAGCAGGCAGACACAGGCCAGATAAGAGATAGAGGGTGAAGCGTAACAAAAAGACTGGGGCGCATGTGTCAGCAGGTTTCAGCTCTGGCCGCTCAAGAGGCTTAAATTCAATTGATCAACGAGCTTAGATGAGGGCCTAAGTACAAATGCCCAGAGAAACACAGAGTCTGATCGGTGAATATCTAAATGCATGTGGTGGAAAAATGCAAAAATAAAACCAGAGTTCCCACATATCCACAGCCAGACGTGGTTTAAAACTACTTTGCAAGCTAAAGTGGCTGGCTGTATTTTCCTTCATGTTTATAACAGGTGGTTGACTGAAATGTGCTGAGAGATAAGAGACAGAAAAATAAGAAAAGAAAAGTAGCTAAATGCTATTATAGGTTTAAATTATTTCCTCTAAACGATTTCAAATAAAAACCTTACACAATTAAGCTCAAAAGGTTTGAGACTGGAAATAAAAAATATATATAAAAAACATGCCCAACAACACTGACACACTGTAAACACTACAAAAACACACAAACATTAGGAGCTACTTACGTCCTTGATAATTAACAGTGGATAATGACATCCGGTGCAATTTGATGCCCAACCCCGGTCACTTCGCCCCTTTTCTTCTCTGTTTTCCTCTTCTTCTTCTTCCTGACCAATACCTAATCAGGTACGCTCGCTACGCTCGCACCTCCACATTGAGCAGCAAATATATTTTTGGCAAGAAACTAGACAAGGCAAGTGGAAAAAAATATATATCTACCTCTAAAGAGTGGCGCGATACGCACGAGGTCCGCTGAGCCGCATCATCTTCCGCCAACCTCCTGGACACTGAGGACACAGATGGAGGCTTCGCGCATGCGAACTGTGGCGACTCGCGTGGCGCGACTCTGGGAGGCAATTAACCTTTTTTTCCTTCGCCTTTCTTAAGTATCCAATACTCGGGCGTTGCGCCAACCTTTCCCGAAACCAAACTTACGCACTGAAATTCAAACAGTCGCGACAGGAAACGACAAATTCCAACGATGTAAAATTTGTCGACTTAAATGTTTTCTTTTTGGCTTTATAAATATGTATCATTGCTTAATGAGTTTATATATATATATATATATATAATAATTTCCTCCACAAATCATGCACTTCAAAACTAACATACAATGAATCTTTCCAGTAAAAGTTTAAAATGTAATAATTAATATGGCTAATTCTTTTTGCGCTCTGCATTAAGGTGCATGAACGAAGCCTATTTGTAGAGGATAATCCATTGCACACACACACACATATATATATATATATATATATATATATATATATATATATATATATATATATATATATATATATGCAAAAAAAAACCAGATATATATATATATATATATATATATATATATATATATATATATATATATATATATATATATATATATATATATATATATATATATATATATATATATATATATATATAAGGTAATGGCGAACCAACCAGACATTGTCGTAGTGGATAAACATCAGAGGAAAGCCGTTGTGGTAGATGTAGCAATACCAAGTGATTGCAACATCAGGAAAAAGGAGCACCAGAAACTGGAGAAATACCAGGGCCTCAGGGAAGAACTGGAGAGGGCCTGGAAGGTGAAGACCACAGTGGTGCCTGTGGTCATCGGGGCCCTCGGGGCAGTAACCCCCAAACTGGAGCAATGGCTACAACAGATCCCAGGAACAACATCAGACATCTCAGTCCAAAAATGTGCAGTCCTTGGCACAGCCAAGATACTGCAGGACCCTCAAGCTCCCAGGCCTCTGGTAGAGGACCCGAGCTCAGAGGATAAGAACCACCCGCGGTGGGTGAGAAGGGAATTTTTTTATTTTTATTATGTTACGTCTATTTTTTTACTTTTTACTATCATTTTGTAACCTTTTGTGTTTGTTTTGTTATTTCTGGCCTCCAGTCGCTCTCAGATTGTATCCTACAGAGAATATCATCTTATTTTTAAATATTTTCATTTGGTCATGAAATTCATCATTTCATGACCAAATGAAATGGGGAGTTTAACCCCGTCCAGTTTTTTTATTTGCTCACATTTGGCCACTAGATGGTGCTGTCAAGTCATCCAAAGCTTTTCAGTTGGAGGTTTCTTCTTGTCTCATGATTATTCTACAAATAGATGGCAAATTTAACTCAAGTAAGAGTTAGATTTTATTGCATTATTAAATAATTTCCTCCACAAATCATGCACTTCAAAACTAACATACAATGAATCTTTCCAGTAAAAGTTTAAAATGTAATAATTAATATGGCTAATTCTGTTTGCGCTCTGCATTAAGGTGCATGAACAAAGCCTATTTATAGAGGATAATCCATTGCACATTTGGCTTCATGGTTCATTTCTTGCCTGCAATTGCACCACAGTTTGCTGCTTGCAATTATTTACTTTTGGAAACAAGAACATCTCATTTCTAAAATTTACAACCCTGAAGTCTTAGTTATCCTCAGATCACTAGAAAAACACTAGCAACTCATCCGGTGTACCTTTGTTTAAACATTTTTAACACACTTTTTTCCTATGGTTAAGATCCACTTGATCAATTAAAATAAATGCTGTATTAGAAGCCAAAGAACTAAAAAACCTTTGTCATTTTGTTTTCTATTACACAAAGTTCTAAAGCGTCATCCGTTTTTCTTGCTGGAAACATTTCAGTGTCTCTCTTACTCAAGGCCGCTGCTTTGCAGGCCACACATGAGTAAATACTGCAACATATATTTTATTTGACTTTATTTGTCACATGATTTTTCTTAGCTTCCAAGAATTTATACACACATTACCTTCTCAGTACATACTGACTGGGCATAATTAGTTTTACTTAAATCTGTCAAGCAGAAAATGGGAATTTTGCTTAAAGATTTAATTTTATCAGAATAAATCAAAGACAGGGCATGCAGTATAATTCCTTAAACCTTTAAGTTAGAAATACAAACTTTTTTTTTTTAGCATTTTATGTGCTTTTCAAAGGTAGCCTTTATTTTATGTAAGGCTCATGCAAAGTTGTACATTAAAAGGATGCAAAAGTTAACATTTTCTACAAATAATGCAAAAAACTCAACATGCATTTTTAACTCTGGTTGGTTATGTTTTCGGCCAACATGCTACGTGTAGCTTAAAAATGAATACTGTACATTACACTGGACAGACCCGACCCATGTATATGATTAGAGTATGGGGATGCTTTTCTTTGGAAAAGGTGGATAGGACCAAAAATAGGTAATAATTAACAATAGTCATTCTGGAATAAAATCACATAGAGGGGACATAATAATGTTCCACTTTGAGCCTGTTTACCAAAAAAAAAAAAAAAAAATCAGTTGAAATTTCAGTACATGTCTGGACAAAAAAAAATATTTTTGCAAAGCTCAGTAGTTTCTGGTCAGGGTTGGCCTGGCCTCCATTGTGACCTTATCCACACATCTTTGCATGCAAAACACAGATGTTCATGTTTTTGGCTGGCAACGTTAATCTTATCCATAAAGTGGTGAATAAAACTAAAAGAAAGAAAAAAAAACCTGCTGGGCAGTCAATATTGAGAAATGACGCGTCTAAACCCACATCAAAACAGCCACAGAAGTTGGGCTGGCTGCACTTCGTGGGCGTCATAAAACTGCTCAATATTCAATGAACTCTGAACACTGCCCCACTTAAAATAAAAATGTTTTTTAAGATGTCCTAGTTCTCTTAAGATTTACTTATTAAATTAGTTGAGTTTTAACATTTGTGTAAAACTTCTTTGTAAATGCAAAAGTATTTGATTAATATGAAAACCACGCTTGCATGAGAGTGCCCTAAATTAGTTACATTTCTTGTATGTTCAAATAAAAGAGAACATCAGGATTTCTATTACCAATGCATCTGAAAATTGGCAAAATGTATGTTGTGGCTATTCACTATTTTTGTGTTTTTGAGTGCCTTCCTCTACTGGAATAGTAAAATGTGCCCAATTTTCAAATATTCGGCCAGGACTGTCCCTGTGAGATGAAAAGAAATTAGCTGGAACGTTCAGGAACAATCCATCAAATAGAAATGACTCAAGATGATCGTAAAATGGAAACTGCTGGAAGACAAGTGCCACTATGCAAAGTCTAATGAGTTTGACATCAGCACGGACGGACAGGGTGCCAACCTAGAAATGAGATCTCCTCCATTGACGCCTTTCAGCTTTACTAAAAAGTTCAGCTGCATGCATGAATAAACCAGACACCTTCTGAAGAAAAGTGACATGGTCTAACAGCACAACCTCTGAGCTTCTGACCTCAGTGGCAACAAGTACGTTTCAAATACTTAAGGTGGGACTTAAAACTGTGTGTCAAACTTTTTTCACTCTTAAACCACTTCAGCCCCTTCAGCTTTTAGCTAAAACTTAAAAAGGCTTGTTTCCTGCAACGAGACACAGGAAAAACTCAACTCGGTGACATTTCTTTATTCATATTTTCTTTTTGGATGAATCTATGACGAGCCAGCATGAGTGGGTTGATAATTTGCAAACAGATAAGAGAAACATTAAGCATAAAACAATAAACTAATTTTAACTTTAAATATTTAACTGGCTTCTTAAGTCAGGCTTTTGATAATTTACTTTTAACTTAACAGTAAATAAATGGTAAACAAGCTATAAGGAGTGCATATTAAGATGCATTTAAATATATGAGAAACATTGGATCAAACAATCATAAATGTCAAACCTGAATCATGTAAACTTTGAATAATGTCCATTTCCTACTGTTGGTGTCTTTTGGTAGCTTTTAGCTGAAAATCCTTGTTTGAAGAGACATTCAACCTTATAGATTTGGCTGCTGAGACAAAGCAGCCAAATCTATATTGATTGGGTGCGCTTGATTCTTCGCAAGACTCTCCGCAGTTGGGAGGAGACAGTAGAAACATTCAAAACTGTCAGAACTGCTGGAATAACTTGACACGGTGTAACAATTGTCAAGTGGTGATGGTAGCAGCATTATGCTGAGTACCAGCACTGATGCACCATGTTGGAGTGCGCTGAACTTTTTCAAGTGCTTTATAAATAAATCTGGAATCAAATAGAATAATCAAGATCAATTCTTTGGCTTAATGTCAAATAAACAGCTAGACACAAATTTTTACTGAATCTGTGCTTCTTTTTGAAGGGATACTTCTAAAAACGGCCCTGGAATAGATCTTGTTGAAAAAAAATTTTGGACTGCGCTTAAACGTGCAGCTTGTGTCAGGAAAACAGTGGATTTAAAATGCTGCATGTAAAAAGAAGGGAAATCAAATATCCTGCGAAATGTATGCCGTATGCTTAACTTTAACTGCTTACTGTACAATAGACTTGTTTGAGTGCATGTAGAGCAGGGGTCTTCAAATCCAGTCCCCGACAGTTAGTGACCAGCAACTATGAGATTTGCCTCTTGCCTCAATACATGTGACTCAAATAATCAGGTGGAAGGCAGGACTCTGGAGTATTGAGGAGGTAATTCAGCCATCTGATCCGGCTGTGTTGGACTTGTCTACAGGTTGCAGGACACCGATCCTTGAGGTGTGGATTGGAGGACCCCTGATGAAGAGTGCATTCTGCTATTTACCTAATCTGTTTGGCCCAATCTGGGTTAGAGAAAGTCCACAATAAAGTCAAATGTGTGCATCTAACTCTGTCATTGAAGTTGTGATTAATGGTAAAAAAAAAAAAAAAGAATCCCATTAAAAGTTCATGGTTAACATGTGATTCAAGCTTAAACTCTGACAGGAGCTGTACATCACTAGAGCTACCAACACCTAATTACGGAAATGCTTTGAACGGTGACCTCTTGCCATACACTTTCACAACTCTTCATTATGA